TACTTGAAACCAAATCCTACTTTTTATACTTAATAAAATCACTTATTTAAAAAAAATCATAGATTATAGATTATTAGGGATGGAAGGAACCTCAGGAGGTCATCTAGTCCAACCCCCTGCTAAGTGATTAATATCTGGGGGAGCAAACAGCTGTGCATATCTCAGTGTTATAGAGGGCGGACAATTTATGAGTTTACCCTGTATAAGCTTTATACAGAGTAAAATGGATTTATTTGTGGTGTGGATCCCATTGGGAACTGGGTGTCTGGGTGCTGAAGATTCATAGATTCTAGGACTGGAAGGGACCTCGAGAGGTCATCGAGTCCAGTCCCCTGCCCTCATGGCAGGACCAAATACTGTCTAGACCATCCCTGATAGACATTTATCTAACCTACTCTTAAATCTCTCCAGAGATGGAGATTCCACAACCTCCCTAGGCAATTTGTTCCAGTGTTTAACCACCCTGACAGTTAGGAACTTTTTCCTAATGTCCAACCTAGACCTCCCTTGCTGCAGTTTAAGCCCATTGCTTCTTGTTCTATCCTTAGAGGCTAAGGTGAACAAGTTTTCTCCCTCCTCCTTATGACACCCTTTTAGATACCTGAATCTGCTATCATGTCCCCTCTGTCTTCTCTTTTCCAAACTAAACAAACCCAATTCTTTCAGTCTTCCTTCATAGGTCATGTTCTCAAGGGAGAGAACTATCCAGGTTGTCAGCTGCCAGCAGGTTGCAGCTGAACCAGAGAGTCCCCAAGGATAGGACAGCAGAAGAGTCTGTCCTACCTCGGGGACTCTCTTTCTGTCCCACCGTCCCCACGAACACGATACAGTTCTGCAGTGATCTGGAAGCCTACTTTCGTCGTCTCCGACTCAAGGAATATTTTCAACGCACCACTGAACAGTGCACTGACCCACAGGAACCCTCCTGCCCACACTACAAGAAGAAGAACTCTGCGTGGACTCCTCCAGACGGTCGAAATGACAGACTGGGCCTCTACATAGAGTGCTTCCGCAGACGTGCACAGGCTGAAATTGTGGACAAACAACATCACTTGTCCCATAACTTCAGCCGTACGGAACGCAATGCCATCCACAGCCTCAGAAACAACTTTGACATTATCATCAAAGGGGCTGACAAAGGAGGTGCTGTAGTCATAATGAACAGGTCGGATTATGAACAGGAGGCTGCCAGGCAACTCTCCAAGACCACATTCTACAAGCCACTATCCTCTGATCCCACTGAGGAATACCAAAAGAAACAACACCATCTGCTCAAGAAATTCCCAGCTACAGTACGGGAACAAATCTACATGGACACACCCCCAGAACCCTCACCAGGGGTATTCTATCTGCTACCCAAGATCCGGAAACCCTGGACGCCCCATCATCTCGGGCATTGGCATTCTTACAGCAGGATTATCTGGCTGTTTGGACTCTCTCCTCAGACCCTATGCT